TTACACGGGTCTACTGCACCTCCTCTTAGGTGTTCTGCAGATATAAATCGCAAACTCCAACACTTATTTGCGTCACTGACCATCACTTCCAGTATACCAATAGTGCAATTGTTTTGTAGTAAAGTTTGAGCTGTGCACCATCTTTGGGTACACCTCTCATGCATGCAGGAATAAAAGTTTAAACAAAGAAACCTGAGTCTCATCTGTTTGAAAGAAGGATTAAAGGGTTAAATCACACTTTCGCGCTGCCTGTCATAAACTCAAAAAGTATACACATCTTCTCCATAACAGTACAAAAGTTCTGCCACCTACTTGATTGCAATCACGTTCTCTTAGCAATGATGCATTTAGGTCACTGTTCCAGAATTACTCTCTGACCTTATTTTAAGTTCAACTTCTTTAGATGATAATAAATATGTATATGATAAATATGTATCATACACCTTTCATCACAGAGTACTTTGATTAAAAAAAAGACCGGTACCATGATCAAAGGATGACCTCCCTCACCTTTTTGATTCAACCATTGCCTCTTGACATTCAACGGCATTACCATCATTAAATCCACTACTATCAAAATCCTTGAGCATAGCATTGACCAGAGTCTTAACTGGATCAGTTCTAAAAATACTGTGGCTACAAGAACAATTAGATGCTGGGAATTCAGTGGTAACTATTTCACCTCCTGATTCCCCAAAGCCTTTTCAAAATCCAGGAAGCACAAATCAGGATTATGATGAAATATTTTCACTTAGCTTGATGAGTGCACATCAAGCAACCTGTTTCACTGACATCCTAGCCACCACAGCCTCAGCTGCTGCCTGACCTGCTGTGTATATTCAGCATTTAATTTTTCCTTTAAAAAAAGCTTGTATATGTTTCCATGGAAAGACTGTTGTAACTGTAAAAAAAATGTTGCAGTTTTGTCAAACTGCTGATTTAGAAACCATCCTAAAGACTGAAAACCCAACTTTTCAAAAGCAAATTACCAGGGATGTTGCAACACTGAAACAGGAACAAATTACTAGAAGTATGAAGAAGAGAAACAAGGTTCATGTTTCAGCTTAAATAACTTTCATCTGTATAATTCTGATATCTCCCTTAGGGAGCATTTCCAACATTTTATGTTTTTAGCTGTATCCTTGTGATACCAAGGGTCCTTAATACATGAGGTAACAGTGTTGTAAAGACTGTGATTTTATTTCGATTAATTCACTGGAACGTAGAAATGACAGGAGATACTGATAGAGGTGACAGAGATAGTAGGATTTCACCATTTCTGATGAAGGGTCTAGGCCCGAAACGTCAGCCTTCCTGCTCCTATGATGTTGCTTGGCCTGCTGTGTTCATCCAGCTCTGCACCTTGTTGATAGAGGTGACAGTTCAGTTAAATTTAATACTTTATGCCCTTAAGTATCTTCAAAATAAACATTTAGCCTAAATTTAATTTTTTTTCACTTTAATCTGTAGAGTGATCACCCTAATTTTTTCCCCATTTCATCATGTGGCTAAAGGAGAAGAAAATGAAAATACAATCTCCACACTCATTACTGTTTTTAACCACACATTTGCCTCAATGCAACCAAAAAAAATTTTTCTGAGTAACTAAAAAGGGAGTGCAATTGTCTATGTACAAAATACACATGACTCACAGACTCCACAACACCACAAAATAAACAGTTGGGCTGCGAGTCCACCATCTACAGTTACATGTACTGCTGTCTACAAGAAAGTGGGAGGACTCCCATATGGACAGCCTCCACTAGCTGGTGGTAAATAAGCACGCCAAGGCTTGCCCTGGTGTAGGACAAAGGAGTCAAAGTGGATGGTGTGCAGCAGCAGCCTGCACAAAAATCACCTCCATGCCAGGCGGAAGGACATGGATAGCATGCCCATGAAGCAGCTCAGGTTGAGGGGCACGAGCTCATTAAGGAGGTTCAGGACCCTGAGGCCAATGTGAAATTCCGTCCGACCACGTGGATGGGATTCCACTGCACACCTGAGCATCCTCCTAACTGGTGCACAATGTCAGGTCTGAACACTGCTGTTTTCAGGAGATAGACGGCATCAGTAGTGAACTGCTTAAATGGTGGTTTTATAGTGTGTCTACAGATTACAAGGTTCTAATCAAATAGTTATACATTGACTCACCCATTTCTCTATCTGATAGAGTTGGCATCGTCTCCCTTCCACGTTAGTACACAAGACTATATTATCCAAACATGTTCAAACTAGCACATGATTATATCATCCAACGATATAACAAGTTCACGTATTCTAACTAAGTTAGTTGACACTTAACTGGGCAAGAAGCGCTGGCCTAGCCAGCAACTCCCACATCCTGCGACTGGTAGACAAAAATGCTTGTTCGTGCATTTAATCTGAAAACCTGTGCTGCTCCCCCCACCTTTCACAGAGTAGATCATAGAATCCCTACAGTGTGGAAACAGGCCCTTCGGCCCAACAAGTCCACAACGAACCTCAGAGCATCCCACCCAGACCCATCCCCCTATAACCCACCTAATCTACACATCCCTGAACACTACAGGCAATTTAGCATGGCCAATCCACCTAGCCTGCACATCTTTGGACTGTGGGAGGAAACCGGAGCACCCAGAGGAAACCCACGTTGACATGGGGAGAATGTGCAAACTCCACACAGACAGTCACCCAAGGCTGGAATCGAACCTGGGTCCCTGGTGCTGTGAGGCAGCAGTGCTAACCACTGTGCCACCGTGCCCTAACAAAGCCATTAATTTTGTTCAGACTTCAATTCAGAAGAAACAAGAGTTTTCATTGAAAAGGGAAATGGTTTATTCTTAGGAGTTTTTTTTTTAGTTTAGCTCAGGGGAGACAGGCACTATAGGAGGATATCATTTCTAACAAAATTTAAAAGGCAACTTAAGCTCTCAGCCCAGATGACCCACTTTCCTTAATTTACATCCATTTTACAACTGTTTCCCTTTCACCCCAATTAGCAATCTCTTTGATCTTTTGCACTGAGCCTCCACACCATCTGTTCAGCTGGCTCCTCCTCTGCCTCAGTCAAAAGGATATATTAAAGAAAAATTGTGTCCAAACCCTTTCAGTTTAGTTATTTCAGAAGCTGGAGACTTGATTTCTGTGTGATTTGATTTGATTTATTATTGTCACATACGAAGATGCAATGAAAAGTATTGTTTTGCGTGCTAACCAGACAAATCATACTTTACATAAGTTCATCAAGGTAACAGAACAGAATGCAGAATATGGTGTTGTTAGCAACAGAGAAGATGCAGACAAAGATCAATTCTACTTTGAGAGGTCTGTTCAAAAAACAGCCCAATGTTGTACGATAAGACTGTCCTGGACAATATTTATCACTTGACCAATAACTGAACAATCTGACCAATATCTCTCAGACATCTATGGAACGGAAGGAGGTCTGTTGTGCCCATCAAATATTGTCTGTGGAGTAAAGGTGCTGGAGAAACTCAGTAGGTCTGGCAGTGTTTTGTGGAGAGAGATAACAAGAATTAATGTCTCAAGTCCAACAAAACTCCTCTTCAGAACATAACTTTAATACAAGGTACAACTAATAGGAAAAGAGCAAGTAATGAATGAAAAGAAAGCCAGAAGTGTAGGTATTGAGGGTGAAATATTGCGTATCGCAATGTCTATGATTAAAAACTCATTTAAAGAGGGATCTTTCAACAAAACAGTTGCACGACTGAACTTGACCAGCAGAATACAAAAAGAAAATTAATTTGGCCACAGTATGAATTTTGAAAAAATAGCTGGAAATGTACAAAAAGAATGTGAAAGATAAATAGCTTAACATTTCATGTGAGATCATTAGGAGCTGATATGTTGTAAACGGGAGAGTCTGTTTCAATGTTAACTAGAGAAATGGAACAAGAATAAACTTCAGAACATTGGCAAGACCAAACACAGACTGAGTGACCACTTTAAAAAGCGCCTCCACTCCATCCATAGGAATGGCCCTGACCTCCTGGTTGCTTGCAATTTTAATGCACCACCCTGCTCTCCTGTTAGCATTTCTGTCCTGGGCCTGTTGCAATGCTCCAATGAAGCTCGTGAAACAACACGTCATTTCCACTTAGGCATTTTAACAACCGAGATCTCAAAGTTTAATTCAGTAACTTCAGAAAGTGACAGCATAATGTCAGTTCTCCCTCAACAGACTTGTATGGTTTGCTTTAAGTAGAAAGGATCAATTCTCTCCATTTCACACCTTGATTTGTACCCAGTTTACACCTCCATTTCTATTTCATCACAAAAACCCCTGTGTCTTTAATAATAAAGAACTGCATACGTTGAAGATCTGAAACAAATTGCTGGAGAAACTCAGCAGGTGTGGCAGCATCTGTGGAGATAAAGTAGGTTAACATTTTGAGTCCAGTGACAACTCTTCACAAGATTCTTGTCTGTCCTTTAGATGATAGTTTCTAATCAACACTGTTCAGAGATGTTATTACACCCAACCCCCATGATGAAGGGTCTAGGCCCAAAACGTCAGCCTTCCTGCTCCTCTGATGCTGCTTGGCCTGCTGTGTTCATCCAGCTCTACACCTTGTTATCTCAGATTCTCTAGCATCTGCAGTTCCTACTATCTCTAGCACATATACCACCTTTTTCTTGTTTAAATTGGTTCAAAGGGTTATTACACCCAAGACATTAACTCTGTTTCTCACCATAGATGCTGCCAGACCTGCTGAGTTTCTCCAGCAATTTCTGATTTTGTTTCAGATTTCCAGAATCTGCAGTTCTTTATTTAAAATGTTATGCCACATTTCTGGAGCAGGTGGCACTTGCCCTTTTTGCATTGGGCCTTTACAGCATCCTTTATCAAAAGGATACAAAACAAACCCCCTTCAGTTCTGAAGAAGTGTCACATTGAACTGGAAACGTTAACTCTCTTTCTCTCCCCACAGAAGTTGCCAGGCCTGATGGGGTCCGTGACTAATCTCCTCCCCCGGACCGGAAGTGGTGAGATGGTTTCCGCTCAGGGACTGTGTGTCCGCCCCTAGTCCGTCCCCCGCTGCAGGTCGCGCTGTCGCTGTCGCCGCTGTCTCTTTATTTCGCTCGATCTGGTCTCCATGGCGGCCAAGCGAAAGCAGGAGGAGAAGCACCTGAAGCTGCTGCGGGACATGACAACGCTGCAGCACAATAGGAAGTGCTTCGACTGCGATCAGAGAGGCCCGACCTATGTCAACATGACTATCGGCTCCTTCGTCTGCACCTCCTGCAGCGGAATCCTGTGAGTGAGAGAGGCCTGGCTAGGCCTTCCCTACAGCCAACCCCACACAAAGCAACGGCGGGGCGGGGGAGAGAGAGAGAGAGAGAGATAGATAGATAGATAGATAGATAGATAGATAGATAGATAGATATGGAGAGATGGAGAGATGGAGCGGGAGCATGGCACAGGGAGAGGCACACGCACACACACAAACACAACCACAACCCGCCCCGACCATACAAAGGAGGGGTGGAGTATTGCAGGAATAGCAAGTCCACAGAGGGAAAAAAAAATCCGCACGGAATCGGGGCAGATTGGTGCGTGGAGGCGAGAGAGAGAGAGAGAAAAAAACTCTATTCTGCAGATCTTGAGGAAAGGGGGAGATTCTGGAGGTGGAGGGAGAAAGGCTCAGGCTGAGTAAGAGAGTTTCCCGTAGAGGTGAAGGGAGCATAGTGGAATAGGGGTGGAGAGAACAGATCCCACGGACAGGGATAGAGATGAAGTCATCTTTCGGAGTCACAAAGGGAGAAGGCGTCCATGCCGTAGTCAGCGGAGAGAAATGTCAAGATAGACCCCAGAAATGCTGAGAGAGGGAGAAACAGACCAAGAAATAGAGAAAGGGAGGAAGATAGAGCATTCTAAGTAATTAATGAAGAGAAAGGATTAGTAACCAGATTAGAGAATGAGGGAGAAAACTTGCTGGATGCAGTGTCTCAAAACCGAGATCCATGAGGTGGGGCATTGAAACAATCCTTAATGTAGTACAGAGTGTGCTAGCTAACGCACGGGGAGTGGAGAGCATTGTGTGTTGGGAGACTGTGTATGAAAGAGCATTGAAAGCAGCACCAAAGTAAATTCCACTTGTGTTAAAAATATTATTAAACTCTTTACCTACAGTGCTTTTATACTAGGTGGGGGTGGGGGGAATGGCTGTTATTGCTAATTAATTTGAAGAGGGATAATTCAACAAAACAGTTTGGTAACCACTGCAGGACTGAACTTAACCAGCAGCAGATTGTAAAATGAATGTGAATTTGGGCTTGCTATGATTTTCCAAAATGTAGCTTGGAATGCAAGACAGAAGTTGTGTATGCGAAAGTAAATGATTCAATGTTTCATGTGAGTTCCTGAGTAGCAGATATATTGTAAATAGGAAAGTCCCTTTAAGGGTTAACCAGAGAAATGGAACAAGAATAAACTAGAAAAGATTTTGCATTTAAAGGAAAAGTAGAGTGTGTTGGAGAAATTCAGGAGTGGCAGCATCTGTAGTGCATATTGGATTCGAAATGTTAACACTATCTACAGATGCTGCCAGCCCTGCTGAGTTTCTCCAGCACTCTTTTTGCTTTTCAGATCTCCAGCATCATCAGTACAGATTTGCTTTGGATTGCCTGAACAACACTAAACAACGTGCTTCATAACTAACAACTTTTTTGCATTGAGTTTACTATTGCAGCTAATAGCAGATATATATGGTATATACGTATGTTAGTTATTGTCACTAATGGCTGACTTCATCTTATAGGCAATGGGAAGCATGATTTTGTGGATTAGATCTCAAGAGGAAAGAAAGGGATTGGGGGGCAGAGACAGAAGCCCTAGGCTGAATGTGACCGGGGGTCATGTTCACAATAACTAGGGCAATACTTAGCAAAGGAAAGATATACATTTGTAAAGTCTGGTGCAGCAAATCCAATTTGTTCAAGGTACAATACAAAGGGAGAAAATGAAGAAAGGAATTGTCTTTACAGGAAGAACATTGATAGGAAATAATCTGAGTAATTATTGGTATACTAATGTTTGGAAAGTATAATTTCTGAGAAATCTATGAGCAGAATTATAGAGGCCTGACCTGTCTTTTTTCCATTGTAGTTTTAGTCGCTGTGGACTTCATTGAATAATTATGTTTCTATTTATTGTGGAGTAATTTCCAAGTTGACCAAGAAAATGTAATTTAGGAAATAAAAATTCTTTAGGCCAACTGCTTGAATATGAGCTTGCATTGATGGATTATTTGCCTCTTGTACTGTCTAGGGTATACACCTGGGATTATTATTTACATTTGACTTTTATTCTTTAAACCAGTCCCTTGAGATTTTAAAAGGTGTGCCTCTGTTTGAAGGAATACTTGCTTGGCTAGAAGTAAATTAAAATAGGACTTATGACTGAACACATTAAAAATAGGAAACTGGAGACATTTTATATTCAATTGTCAAATATGGGGTAGCAGTAAAAGATAAAATGACCTCAAAGTATATGGAGGCTTACAAAATGGGCTCCTAATTAATTTGCCAGAAAAAAACTCAAACAATTCACATTTGATTGAATACTGCTGAAGATATAAATCCATTCCCAGTGCTGCGTACCCAGAAACTCATGTTCTTGGCGTCATATTAATGAGACATGACAGTCATACCCACAATGTCATTACAAGCCGACTTTTGACTGTGAATACAGTGACTTGGTGGAGTCTGAGGACAGGCAGTTTCTACAGCCTTTGAAGTGTCTCAGTAGAGGCAGAAGACAGGTGGTCTTGCAATATGTTCCTGTTGGCAAGCTGGCTGCATACTGCTTTTAACATGGGGACAAGAGTAGGCCTTTCAGCCCTTTTAAGTCTGTTCCATCATTGTCATTTTTCTGCATCCTATCCCCTTGACTCCACGGTTTCTTTATACCGTGTGTAAACAAAATTCCATCAATTTCAGGTCTAATGTGAGTAAAGCTAATATTTACCTGTTCCACTGATCATCCAATGCATGGCAAGATGTTTCCTAATCAGTGTCAGGCGAACAGAACTGTAGCAAGTGGAATTCAATCCTGAGAAGTCTGCAGTGATGATAAAGGAATGTACGAATGAGAAGTGTAGAAGAGGTGAGGGCCCCAGGGAGTGAGTATCTGCAGATCTCTGAAGGTGGTAAGGATAGGTTAAATTGGTTAAAAGACTAAATATAGAACCCTTTCTTTTTTCACTGAGATACAGAATACAAGAGCAGTGAGGCCAAACTGAAATTGTATAAATTATTTGTTAGGCCACCATCTGTGTACTGTGTGCAGTCACCTCATTACAGAAAAGGAGGTCATTGGAACTCAGGATACTGAGACGTAATTTTGTTGAGGTGTACAAAATTGTGACGGTCCTGGGTAAGGTGGCCTATTTATCTTAGCAGAGAGGACAGTCACTAGGGCGCATCGGACGAAGAGAAGATTTTTCATCCAGAGATGTAGAATCGGTACTTGAAAGGGTAGTAGAGGCAGAAACGTTTGATTCATTTTAATAGCTATCTGGATGTGCACCTCAAATGCTGTAAACTATGACTATGGGCTAACATTGGAAAGTGGAATTAGGATGCATTACTCATTTTTGACTGCCGCAGAAATGATGAGCTATATATGTTTCATGATTCTAACTTTTTGAATGGCCTGGCTCTGATTTTAAGGTGCTGTTTCCTTCCCTTGGATTTTTGCACCAGTGAAAAAGTTTATTTCCATTGACCCTATCAATCTCAATATAGCATAGGATCATAGAAGATAGGAGCAGGAGCAGGCCATTTGGCCTCTCGAGCCTGCTGCACCATGTATTATGATTACGGCTGATCATTAAGTACAATGCCATAATCACGCACTCCTAACCACCACCACCCCCACCCCCACCTCCCCGCCCCGCCATATCCCTTCAACTGCAAGAGCTGTATCTGCCTCCTTCTTGAAAACGCACAATGTTTTGACCTCAACCACTTTGTGTTAGTGAATTTCACAGGCTCACCACTCTCTGGGTGAAGAAATTTCTCCTCATCTCTGTTCTAAAAGGTTTACCCCCTATCCTTAAATTATGGCACCTGGTTCTGGCTCCCCTCCATCGGAAACATCCTTCCTGCATCAAACCTGTTAATCACCCTAAACCTTCCATCATAAGGAAACATACAAGTCTAGTACATGTAATTTTTCCTCATAATTGGAGCTCAGGTAACATTCTGCTGAATCAATGCTGTTCTCCCTTCAATATCCCTGCATCCTCTCTAATGGTGCAATGCTCAGACCTGTGCAATGTACTCCCAATATGGTCCCAAACAGTGCTTTCCATAGCTGTGGAAAAATATCCTTCTCGTATTCCAGCCTTCTAGTTATAAAGGCTAACATTTCATTAGTCCATGAAAGGGCTTTAAACTAATTAGAGAGGTAGAGGTTTTGGAGAAAGGAAATGTAGGCTTACAAAGCATATGAGTATAGTAACATTACAGGGCAGCTATTTGGATAACGATACCAAGAGTGAGACAGGAAGGAACAAAGTGTACAAACTTAGAAAGACAACAGTAAGTAGGATAAAAGGGCAAAAATAGTAAAAATGCAAAATTACTTGAATGCATGTAGAATTTGGTCAAAATAAATGAATTGACAACACAAATGCAGGTTCAATGGGTGTGATCTAATAGTCATTACAGAGACACGGTTAAAAGGAGATCAAGGCTGGAAATAAAATACACAGGTATGTGACATTTTGAATGGACAGTCAGGAAAGAAAAGGTGGTGGGGTAGCATTGTTAAGACAGGATGGAATTAGTACCATAGCACAAAGAGATCTTGAGATCAAAAGATGTAGAATCTATATGTATGGAGGTAAGAAATAAGAAGGGAAAGAAGACTCTGGTCGTAGTCTGTAGGCCCCCAAGTGGTAGTTATACTGTGGGACAGCGAATAAATCAACACATATAACAAAGGTAGTCCATTAATTATGGGTGACTTTAATCCTCATGTAAATTAGAAAGCCATGAGAAATAATTCATAAAGTAAATTCATACTACTATGTTGTGGATCCAACCAGGATCAGGCAATTTTGGATCTGGTGATGTGTAATGAGGCAGGTTTTAAGAAATGATGTCAGCATAAAAGTGCCCCTAGGAAACAATGACCATACATGAGAGAATTTAGTATTCAGTGTGAGAGGGAGGAACTTGGGTCAGAAACAACTGTGCTAAACTTAAATAAATATAATTACAGAGGAATGAGGACAGAGCTGGCTGGAGTGGACTGGGAAGGGAGTTCACAGTAAAGACATTTGAGGAACAATGGCAAATGTTTAACAAAATAGCTCACGGTTCATAGTAAACATTTATCCCAGTGAGAAAGAAGGATTTGAGGAAGGGGATAAATCAATCATGGTTAACAAGGGGAGTCAAGGATAGGAAAAATTAAAAGAAAAAGCCTACAATGTGCCAGATTCATGATAAGCCAGAAGATGGAGAATTTTTAAAAAGAACAAAACATAGAAACGAGGAGCAGGAATAGGTCATTTGGCCCTTTGGGTCTGCACACTATTCAGTAGGATCATGGCTGATCCTTTACCTCAATGCTATATTCCCACTTTTTCCTCATTCCATTCAATGCTTTTAAAATCTAAAACTGTGCCTATCTCTGTTTCTTGAATTTATTGTATTACTTAGCCTCCACAATTCTTTCCAAGGTAGAGACTGTCCCCTGGTTCTAGCCTTCCCAACCAGAGCTAACATCCTTCCTACATTTAGTATGTCCAGCATGAAGACAACCAAAATAAAAAGATGATGATAAACTTAGGGGGTAAACTTGCAATTAATATCAAGATAGACATCCAGACCTTCTTTAAATATATGAAAAGGATGGGGGAAGCTAAAGTGAACATAGGTCTCTTAAAGATGGAGGCTGGGGAAATAATTGGGAACCAGCACATGGCACAGGACTTAAACAAATACTTTGCATCAGTCGTCACAGTATAAGACTGTAATAGCATTCTGAAATAACTAAAGAGTCAAGGGACAAAAGGAGGAGAGGAAATAAAAAGGGTAACTATCACTAGAGAAAACATGCGAGGAGAAACTAATGGGGCTAAAGACTGATGACAGCCCTAGCCGTGATATGATGCATCCTAGCATATTTAAAGAAGTAGCTAAAGAGATAGTGGCTGCACTGGAATCTTCTAGGAATCCTTAGATTCCAGAAACATGCCAGAGGATTAGCAAACTGCCAATGTAGCACCATAGGTAACCAAAGACTGGTTAGCTTATCATCTGATATTGGGAAATTGTTAGAGTCTATTATAAAGAATGGAATAGCAGAGCATTTGACAATGCATATGATCAAACAGAGTCAGCATGGCGCCACAAAGAGGAAATTTATGAGAAGTCTTTGACGAGGTAACAAGTCGATAGATAAAGTGGAAGTAGTGGATGTATTATATTTGGATTTTCAGAAGGCATTTGATAAGGTAACACATTTTAGGCTACTTAAGAAGAGCTCATAATGTTGGGGTAGTATGTTAGCATGGATAGGCTAACTAATAGAAGTCAGAGATTTGTGATAAGGGGGCCAGTTTCAGGATGGCATTCTGTAGATAGTGGAGTGCCATGGGATCAGTGCTGGGACCACATTTGCTTATATATTAATGACTCGGGTGTGGAAAGTGAAAATACTATAGTGACAATAAATTAGTACTCAATTCTATTATGGAAGTTATTTAAAAGTTTCTGGATGTATAAAGTACACAATTTGTCTGGAAATGTAAATTGTGTTTTTAAATCTCTAGACGAGGGTTGAATCCTCCACATAGAGTCAAGTCAATCTCCATGACCACATTCACACAACAAGAAATCGAGTTTCTTCAAAAACACGGTAATGAGGTAGGTTTATTTTGCTTCATGAGGTACCATCAGATATTATTGATTCTGAGCAATGGTCTTGATACCTTCCATCTCTGACTTCAGGCTTGATTCTCTTGGATTAACTATATGGATAGACAAATGGTTTTCAATACTCAGCAGAAATATTTTGGTTATTTCCTGAGCTCTTTAGTTTATTTATAAAGGGTGGTATCTCGAGTTCAGTCCATTTGTGCTAATTACCACAGATCTTGGAAGATTAACTTTGAGAATGCAGGCTGATTAGCAAAAATATGATCGAGCAGCGCATTGCTCTAAAAATGATCTAGCAGGTAGCTGTCACCTTACCCTGACCAATCAGAGTCAAATTGCTTTGTTTAAAATTTAAACAACTCCTGACTGTTATTTGTCAATCAGCATTAATGATGTATTCTCCATGGCAATGCGTCTACCAATCAGAATCCACTTGCCAATCATGCACTTTGCTCATGTATAAATGTTGCTTTTTTCCTTGAATTGATATTCTTGCAAATGTCTTGATATGTGCAAGATAAAAAGCTTTTAGAAAATGTCTTTTTTCAGGAATGCTAAAGATTAATGAGTTATTCAAATGTTGGATTGTCTTCGGTAAAGATATTGTATGTAAAGTAGGGCAGAAATGATAACTGTTGCAATATAAATGAGAACAGGGAGACAGAGAAGGAAGAAAATGAACATCTTAAACACTAATTCTTTTTATTAATCCATTTTCTTTCTCACATTTGAATGCCAAGGATCTAATTTGGCCCTCCATTAAGGTAATGCAATCATTACTGGTTGAGGGCCAACATTTCCAAAACCTTGTATTAGAAACTGCTGAACATCGGAGAGGATCAAATATTAATTACAATATCTCTCATCATTATAATTGAAGTTCAGACTATTTTAACACTGGAATAATAGGTGTTTTAACTTCCTGATGCTCTTGTAGCTGTCAGCTAAGCCCTTTCTCTTTGTCTAGTTTGAGATTGCTGTACATTATTACTTGTGACATTTTAAGAGTTGCCAACTTTGAAAATAAGTGCAAGAGATTGGGTGCAGTGCTGCAGTCTGACCAGATTTCTTTCCTGTAGTTATGCTTCAGATGTTGTTTGCATGTTTTGAGACTGATTCTTCTTGACAAATTTGCAAATTTCAGATCTTGGTTGTATATTGAGGTAGAAATCTCAAGCTGTCTCTAAAATTGATATACTGTTGCAGTATTTACTATTTGCCAATTGAACAGATAAAAGCCAGTGAAGCTTCAATTATTTTAAGAATGTTGCTGTGCAGCAATTCTTCTCAAGAAAAGGGTTCCTATTACCTCCCTTTACCTCCACCCTCCCCCCGCCAAAAAACTGATTTCCTAATCTTTTGCCTGTGATGTTACCACAAATCACCAGAGCATCAAAAGGTTTCTTTATGGTCAGCGTCTTGGGATGACGTATGAAGTTTAAATTTCCATCAATTTGTATGTATCTCATGTTGTAAGACTTGGTGTTCTGATATAGGATTTATCCAGAATGAGGCAACAGCAAGGGGAACAACAGGTCAGCATTGGTGTAGCGAGGAACAGAGTTGGAATTTTCAAGTCTGATAATTGATCAGAACTAGAAAGGGGTGCAACCAGCTTTCAGCATGTACCAACCTTGCCCACAAAATTTGAAAAGGGAAAAGCAGAAAATATGTAATATAAATACAGGTAGAACTTGGCCATTTGGTCTTTGGGGGTGTTTAAGATATGATAAGATAAATTGTAGCATGCACTGTGTTCCATGGCCCTTGACTCATTCCTGAAGTACACTGTATTTTGTCGTTTTTGAATAGTCCCTCATGGAGCACCTCACGGATTTGTGACCTTGTACCCTTCAGTTTCTGCTCAGTTCAGTCTTGTGTGTTACATTTGATATCATTTACTTTTGAATATCCTGTAAGTAAGCCATAGTGTAGTTCTTAACCAATGCTGTATTCTGCATTTATATTCTATGGAAGCATCTCTACTGTAATGCCATTGTTTTCAGTGTCCATTCATCCAGTCATTATTACTTCCTATTTGTATAACACTCGTTAAATTAATCCTCTTTTATTAATACTTTAGTTATAATTGCATTTACCACTTTAAGGAAATGCTTGAAATAGTTTTTGTTTAGGCACCAGATAAAATACTAATGTAGAGTAGTGAGGTCGATGAAGCAGTGGCAGGGCTCAAATATTTATTCTTTCATAGGGTCTTTGTAAGAAAGAAGTCTGAAGGAGCAACTCTGCTAGCCCCACTCTCTCCTCTTTTCCCATAATTCTGCAAATTCTCGCTCTTTGGGTGCTTATTCGGGTCTCTTTGAAACTGTGATTGCATTTGGTTCCACCACACTTTCGGGCAACACATTCCACCTGCTTACTACTCTTGACATAGCAGTCTTTTTCTTCATGTTGCCATGGTCATTTTCTCAATCGCCTTAAATTACAATCTGCTGCTCTTGACTCTCCCATCAATGAGGAGAGTTTTACTTTGCCCAGACCACTTGTGACGTTGACCTTATGAACTAGGAGCAGGCCGTTCAGCCCCTTGAGTTTGTTCTGCCATTCCAGAAGATCATGACAGATCTGATTTTTACCTCAGTTCTGCATTCCCATCCATCTCTTTCACCCCCTTTCTTAATACGGATCTATTTTCCTCTGTTTTAAAAATATCTTAATTAAATCTCTACTCAGCCTTGTTTTTGTGAGGAGAACAACCCCCAAAATCCAATGTTATGTATGAGTTCCTATTCTAGAGAGTAGCTGAGACTACTGTGTAATCTAGGGTGACACAGTACTGAGGTCTGCATCTGGTATGTAACATTGTACCTGTTCAGTTCTATGGAAGATTCAAAATGGATTGCATCTCCTTGAGAATTCCTCAACTTCTAGGAATGCTCAAAAAATCATCCACTATCAGCTATTTCCTTTGAAACTGTTCTCTGCCCAACAAACTTTTGCAAATATATCTCTAAAGTGTTTACCTCCAGGTCAAAAGATGCCATGGAAAATATTAGGCCTGCAAGTGAGAACTAGGTCACAATTAACTCCGAAGGAATTGAAAGAAATGGGAAAACAATTTGGACAATGGGGGCTCAGTTTATTTGTTTTTATTCATTCACAAGAGGAGGGCACCACTGGCTGGGCCAGCATTTATTTTCCATCCCAGAGGGCAGTTAAGAGTGAACCGCATTGCTGTGGGTCTGGAGTCACATGTAGGCCAGACCAGGTAAGGATGGCAGCTTCCTTCCCTAAAGGACATTAGTGAACCAGATGAGTTTTTCCAACAATTACAATGCCTTCACAGTCCTCATTAGACTCTTAATTCCAGACTTTTATTGAATTCAACTTCCACCATCTGCCATTGCGGGATTCAAACCGAGGTCTCTGGAACATTACCTGGGTCTCTGGATTAACAGTCCAACAATAATACCTCTAAGCTGTTGCATCCCCGTACTGATTAGAAAGAGGAACATAAAGATCCTGAAAGACACTCATAAAATAGTAAACAGTCAATAGGGTGTGCAATGGCCTCGTGGTATTATTGTAAGGTAATTAATCCAGAGACCCAGCTAATGTTATGGAGACTTGGATTCAAATCCCATCTCCCATATTTTAATTCCAGATTATTATTAAATTCAGAGTTTAAGAAAATAATGCCAATTGTTGGAAAAAACCATCTGGTTCACTAATGTCCTTTAGGAAAGGAATCTGCTGTCCTTACGTGATCTGCTGTACATGTGACTCCAGGCCCACAGCAAAGTAGTTGACTCTTCACTGCTCTCTGGGCAATTAGGATGGGCAACAAATGCCGAGTCAGCAACACTCACATCCCATGAATGACTAAAAACAAAATCTGAAGTCTATTCCCAGATACCTACAGAACCCAAATACATACTCCACACACCAGACTATTGCTGAATAGAGGCTGACAAGTGTCACAAAATTAAATCCCTTTCCTATTAGGCCACAGGCCAGTGCCCCAACCTTAACAAAGTTGATAGGCATGTTTGTAAAACCCTTAATCCTCCTTCATGTACCGAAATCCCAGAGACTGGTACAAAGCTATTTTAACCTTCCCCTTCACATTCTGCCTATAATTGGAATAGTTCACAAAGTGCCCCTTGATAGATAAGGGAGTTGAATGTTTTGAGAATCAATAGGAAAGTGGAATTGAGATCACAATCAAATCAACCTGATCTCAATGAATGATGCCGCAGACTCGAGCAGTTTAATGGCCTACTCCTGCTCTTAAAGCCCATGTTCCTACAGACTACTCTAATGTAATCCTTTAAGTGTCTCGTACCTAATTCTATAATGCCTTCACAAATTCGTGTAATTTTTCATGAAAAATTTGATTTTTTAAAATCAAATTTCAAAACATTGCAGCTTTACTCCTGACTGAAACATGTATAGCCAGTTACATTTGTTGACTCATTCAGAAGTTCTTCAGCTGCCAGGGATTGGGGGTACCACTGACGTGGATTGAGAATTCGTTGACAGACAGACAGGAAGCAAAGAGAAAGAAGGAACAGGTCTTTTCCCAAGTGGCAGCCAGTGATGAGTGGGATACTGCACCTAACAGTGCTTGCACCCCAGCTGTTTACAGATAATGATTAAGAATTAATGATTTAGATGTGGGAACTAAATGTAATATCTCCAGATTTGCAGACAACACAAAGCTAGATGGGATGGTGAATTGTGAGGAGGGTGCAGAGATGTTTCAATGTGATTTGGCAAGTTGAGTGAGTGGGCAAATGCATGGCAGATGAGGTATAGTGTGGATAAATGTGAGGTTATTCACTTTAGCTAGCAAAAACAGGAAGGCAGATTATTGTCTGAATGGTGATAGATTGAGAAAAGGGGAGGTGCAATGAGACCTTGGTGTCCTTGCACCAGTCGCTGAAAGTAAGCCTGCAGGGGCACCAGGCAGTGTAGAAGGCAAGTGGTATTTTGGCTGTCGTAATGAGCGGATTTGAGTAAAGAGAATTACTGCAATTGTACACGACCTGGGTGAAATCACAACTGAAACATAGTGTGCAGTTTTGGTCTCCTTATGTTAGTGAGGATGTTCTTGCAATGGAGGTAGTGCAGCAGAGGTTGATCAGACTAATTCCTGCAACGACAGGACTTGGGTATGAAGAGAAAGTCAATCAGGACTATATTGACTGGAGTTAAGAGGGGGAGCCTTGTAGAAAGCTACAAAATTCTAATGGGACTAAACAGGGTAAATACAGGAAGAATGTTCCCGATGACCAGGGAGCCCAGAACCAAGGGCCACAGTCTAAGAATAAGGGGTAATCAACTTAGGACTGAGATGAGGAGAAATCTCTTTACCCTGAGAACAGTGAACCTGTAGAATTCTCTGCCACAGAGAGACTGAGGCTGAAACATTGGTTTTTTTTCATTGATGAGTTAGATAAAGTTCTTGGGGCACTTGAGTTGGATGATCAACCGTGATCATATTGAATGATGGAGCAGGCTCAATGGGCTAGAATGACCTAATCCTGCTGCTATTTGCTGTGTTTCTGTGAATATTAAATCTAATCTATATATTGTACATTCACTCTACTTTAATAATGAAGTACATTTGATGTACAAGTCCAAGAATTCATAAAACCTTTGTAATTTTTAAAATTGATTAAAGAATTAATGTCTGTTTGGTGCCATGCTGTAAATTGGATAGAGGATTACAATGTTCTACCTTGCTTGATTCTTGCTTCTGGGATTTAATGAGCTGTACAAAAAATCTGCCTTAATTGGATTACTTAATCTCCCTCATATCTATCCACCTTAATATTATACGTTGATTCTTTTTATTGATGTTGAAGTTGATACAGCTGATAAGACACTGTTGAAGGTATATTCTTTATAAAGAAGACACTGAATTAATGCATAATCCGCACTTTTAAATGTGAATTGCACTGGTCACATGAAATTAGAGATCTGCACCCTCTGAATACACATGTGCAAAATTGCTGAAAAACAAGTACAAAGTTAAATTCTAAAACTAGTACATTTGGCATGTTTAACAGGATGGCATTTTCTGCATTTTATTATTCAGGTCTGTAAACAGATTTGGCTGGGATTGTACGATGAAAGATCATCTATTTATCCAGATTTCAGAGATCCGCAGAAAGTCAAAGATTTCCTGCAGGAAAAATACGAGAAGAAGAGATGGTAAATGTTAAATCTCTGGTTGTTCATGTGGCCTGGTTAAACATTGAGATGTGCTAGTCAGTCCCTTGTGGTATTCAAAGTAGTTGCATAAATTAAGCTCATCTGCTGTCAGATTTTGGCTCAAAATCTGTAAGTAGAACATGAAATGCTTGTGAACCTTATGTCAATTCCACAAGGCAGTGAGCCTTTTGTTAATCATTCTGGGAAGCGAATTAGGAAGAATAAGTTGACATATCGCAATGAGAGGAAACAAATGGAACATGAGGTACATGTATTATTACATAGGGAGATGTTTAGGAGAAAGAAAAAGTAAGGTAAAGTGTCCTTAGGAGCATCGGAAGTTAATAAGGAATAGAGAAACATAGTGAGTTTGGCATTGGAAGGGAAGAAGGAAAGACATCTAAGAGGCACAATGTCTGATATCATATTGTGGCCCAGTGATCAAATTAGTAGCCTACCTGTAGGCATGCTGTGAACTGAGGTTATTCTATCAGAGACAATTCCATAATGGAGGCATTGTTTATGGAGTGTCAATATTCCATTACTGTTGGCATGGAGGAAATAATCTGATCTGGTGAGTGCAATGAGCAATGGCGGCACTCTTAGGAAGCCTGCAGCTGTTATGACTGGAATATAAATATTATTTTTCAATTCTTCAGAAGCTCAAAGGTTCTAACCTAGAATCCTTTAACTTTAGGACATCCAAAACAGATGACCAAAAGTACCTTGGCTTTCAGCACATCTCCACAGGTACTACTTTGTCATAATGCCACTTTAATTACTGTAATGGATTTGATGGAGGCACTATTAAAAATCTTAAATAGGAGTAACAGAAGTGATCATCACTGTTAACTAATAAATGCTTTTGCGTAACATTCTTTTTCTTTATCTGCTGGTCTTTTGTATATTTTCAAAACTGGAACGTAAACCTTTAACAAAGAATTGGCGCATTGGAAATTAAGCGAAGATGTGGGGGGACGAAACAAAATGTGCAGTTAGATTAGCCTGTATAGTCCTCACACTTTGGGTGGGCTTGCTATTTTTGCAGCCTTGCTTGCTGAATATCTGTGACAAGTAATCTTGGATGTCAAGGGAACCAAAACAATTTCTTGGGTCATTTGCTGATTTATCTGATAAATTGATGGCATACGTTCAAGACCAGTCTACCCCTTCCATAAATATTTTAAAACTGATAGATTTATGATCACTTACCCCCAAAGTGCTCCTCTACTGACATCTCAGCCACTTGTCCTGCCCTATTTCCCAAGAGAAGGTCGAGTTGTGCTCCTTCTCTAGTAGATACATCCACATATTGAATTAGAAAATTTTCTTGTACACGCTTAACAAATTCTCCTGCACCCAAGCTCTTAACATTATGACAGTGCCAGTCTGTGTTAAAGTTAAAATCTCCTACTATTACAACCCTACTATTGTTACAGATAACTGAGATCATTACACATGGTTGATTCTCAATTTCCTACTGACTACTGGGAGGCCTACAGTACAATCCCAATAAGGAGATCATCCCTTCTTATTTCTCAGTTTCACCCATATAACTTCACTGACTTTCTCCCAGGAAAATCCTCCCTAAGTACAACTGTAATCTTATCTTTAACCAAAACTGCCACTCCTTTCCTTTCTTGTCCCCCTTTCTATCTTTCCTATACCAGTTATGCCCCTGGACGTTAAGATCATATATCATTGAATCCCTACAGTGTGGAAAACAGGCCCTTCGGTCTAACAAGTCCACACCAACCCTCAGAGCATCCCACCCAGACCCATCCCCCTACAACCCACCTAATCTACACAATCTGAGGAAGGGTCACCGGACCCGAAACGTTAACTCTGTTTTTTCCTTCACAGATGCTGCCAGACCTGCTGAGCTTTTCCACCATATTTGTTTTTGTTCCTGATTTACAGCATCCGCAGTTCTTTCGTTTTTTTAATCTACACATTCCTGAACACTATAGGCAATTTAGCACGGTCATCCACCTAGCCTGCACATTTTTGGACTGTAGGAGGAAACCGGAGCACCCGGAGGAAACCCTCACAGACACAGGGAGAATGTGCAAACTCCACACAGTCACCCGAGGGTTGAATCGAACCTGGGTACCTGGCACTGTGAGGTAGCAGTGCTAACCACTTAGCCATCATGCTGCCCTGTTAAGCTGTCAATCCTGCCCCTCCCTGAGCCACATTTCTGTAATAGCTTTTCAACTTTTTCACGCAGAGGGTGATCCGTGTATGGAATGAGGTGCCAGAGGAAGTGGTGGAGGCAAGTACAGTTACAGCCTTTAAAAGGTATCTGGTTGGGTACATGGATAGGATGCATTTAGCGGGATATGGGCCAAATGCTGGCAAATGGGACTAGATCAGCTTAGGATCACCTCCTGTTATCTTGTAAAGCTCATATATTTCTCTGGCAGTAAAAGTTGGTCATCTGCTTGTCTTTTTTTTTGTAAAAATTATTAAACATTTCAACAGAAGTAGCTCTAGGTGACAGTTTGTTCCATGAATTAATGGACTCTTGAGACTTGTTGGATGATCCTAAATAAATGCTGCCAAACATTCTGCAGTCATACCCTCTGTTTGAATAAAAACCGAAAGAACTGCGGATGATGTAAATCAGGAACAAAAACAAATTTGCTGGAAAAGCTCAGCAGGTCTAACAGCATCTGTGAAGGAAAAAAACAGTTAACGTTTCAGGTCCGGTGACCCTTCCTCAGAACAGACTCTGTTTGGATTCCTGATTGTATACCCAAAATGAAGCACCAGACTCTGAGGACTTTCTGAGAACACCAGATTAAAATTTCTTCTCTTCTTGATTTAAAGCATGTGGATCAAACATATATGCAGTATTTTGATTATGTACATCTAAGCAAGGAAATAAATCTGACACCTGTACTTTTGAGGTTTTCTATTACAGAAGCACAGAACTTAGAAGCAGCCCCTCAAGCCAACTCTGCCATTCATCATGTTAATGGCTGAGCTTAGCATCAGACTTCTTCCCTATATCCCTGTAACCTCTCAAAATATATCTGTTTTTTTCCTAAAAATATTCAGTAAGCTGGCCTCCACCGCTTTTTGTAGTAGAAAATTCCACAGGTTCACCACCTTTGGAGTGAAGGTATTTCTCCTCATCCCAGTCTGAAATGGCCTAACCCTTTTCCTGAGACTACATCCCATTGTTTTGGACTACTCAAGCAACAGCCTGACATAGTCATATATGTGGAATCATACCTTAGAGACAATATATCCCAGCCAGCACATCACAACCCCTGGATATGTCCTGTTCTTCTATCAGGACAGATCTTGCAGAAAAGGCAGAACAGTGGTATACAGTCCGGGGGGAGCTATCCTGCGAGTCCATAACTTTGACTCTAGACCCTATGAAGTTTTATGGCATCAGGTCAAACATGAGCAAGTAAACCTCCTTCTGGATGGAGTCATACCCAGCACAAAGGAAGATGATTATGGTTATTAGAGTTCAATCATTTCAGCTCCAGGACATCTCAGGTGTTCCTCTGGGTGGTGTCATAGGCCCAACCACCTTCTCAAAGCTAACGAGAGATGGGCAGAATGTGCTAGCCCAGCAACAATTACAATATTTAAAAGACATTTGGACATGTACGTGGATTGGAAAGGCTTATAGGGATATGGGCCAAACACAAGAAAATGGGACTAGTTCAGTTGAGGAAATCTGGTCAGCATGGACGATTTTGGCCGAAGGGCCTTTTTCCATGCTGACTCTCAATGCCCATGTCCCATGAGCAACGTTTAAAATAAAGAAGAGACCATTATAAGATGCAAAACAATTGGTGCAAAACTAAATACAAGTGTTAAACATGGACAGAACTAATACTTTGCATACAGTGCAACAGTTCAATTAGAACATTTTAATTTTCTTCTGAAACAGGGCAGCAACAGGGAAAGGTCATTATAGAAACCTATTGTTACTTAGGTCTCACCAGTACCTTTGAACTCTTTCTTATGCTTACATCCACTGATAATTCAAAATACAATCTCATCTTCATACAATTTGGAATATCATGCAGAAAATCAAAAAAACATAGCTGTAGCTGATAATTTTTTTGTGCTTCTGCAAGTTTATTAATTGTGTTGACAGTTTGTGCCTTATGCTAGTTATACAGCTGGAATCTCAACTGGGCTGTGGGTAAACTAACCATGATGCACGTAGGTGCATCGATTAGCAACCTCTAACCTGTTGAGTACTACAAGGTAGAGAATAAAAGTTGATGCTCTTTCTTCCCCAGTGCGCTGCAGCTATCAAATCCAATACATTGTCCTTTGTCTTTAAAGGAACCTATTGAAAATCACCTAGTCACAGCATCATTATGGCACAGAGGGAGGCCATTTGATCCATAGACTGCATGTCGGCTCCCTAAAGAATAATCCAGTCTGTCCTGTTCTTTGCTGCATTCCTCTAGTCTTGGAAGTTTATTTCTCTCAACTGTCCATCTAATGTCCTTTTGAAATCACTCATCACTATTTCCACCGCACTCATAGTCAGTGCCTTTCAGGTTTTTATCATTTTCTATGTTCAAAATAAAACATTCTTCACATTACCACTTCATTTCTTGCTCAAAACCTTAAATCTGTATTCCATAGTTCTTGCACCATTACCTAATGCAGAACGGTTTTATTTTTAAACCTTGTCCAGCCTTTCTCAATGTTCTACATGAACCCCAAAGTCCTTGTGTTCCTGTACATTCTCTAGAATGATGCCATTAAGTCTATATTGGTTCTCTCTGAATCTTCTGTCAAGATGCAACATCTCTTATTGTTATATATTATCCATCTGTCAATTATTTCTCATTTTGCCAGCCTGTTTCCTGTTACAGTCAATTGGTATCACTCTCATTGTCTGCCCCACCTCCAGGTTTGATAGTTTTAACATCTTACTATAATTCTCCACATCTGGAAATATGACTGTCTGAAAAACAGTTGTTTATCATAACTCACTGTGTTCTGTCCTTGAACCTTTTTTAAAACTAAATTGACATTGTTCTATATTCCATGAATAGTTTGGAACAAAAGAACAGGGATAGACCATTGAGCTTGTGAAGCCTGCCCTGCCGTTCAGTATGATTATGGCTGATTAGACATTTGAATGCCTTTCACCCATCCTGCCCCCAAAATTCTGTATGCCACTGGTAATCGGGAATCTTATCAAGACTGCACACAATCGTCCAGATGTAGTCTAACCTGCTTTCTATACAATTGAAGAAGGGCTTCACTACTCCTGTAGTCCAATCCTTTTGCACCAAAGGCTAACAATCCACCAGCCTTCCTAATAGCTTGTTAAATGTGTGTTAGCCTTCAGTGATTTATTGACAGGACATTTTGTACAACTGCACATCTGTTTCTCTTACCAAAGTGCAAACTTCACAGTTTTCCACATTATATTCCATCTGCCATTTTCTTGCCCATTCACTAAGCCTGTCCAAATCCCCCTAACACTGCTTTACATCTTCCTTATTGTACACATTTCCATTTAGTTTGTATCATTTGCAAGTAGGGAGACACTACATTTGGTCCCCAACTCCAAATCAGTGATATATATTGTGAACTGTTAGGACCTAAGTCCTGACCCATGTGGTACCCAACTAGTTACAGCCTGTCAACAAAGAATTACCCATCCATGCCTACTTTCTCTCTTCTGTATGTCTACCGGTCATTAATCCACGCCAGTACATTACTAAAGTACATGAGATAGGAAGTAATTCTAACAAGGCGCACAACCTTGTGTGGGGAAGGTCGTGTCTCAGAAACTTGATTGGGTGCAGGGCGGTAGATGTTGTCTATATGGACTTTAGCAAATGGCAGAACCCTTAGTAGCATCAACTTCCAGAGGGATCTAGGTGTACAGGCCCACATTTCTCTGAACGTGGCAACACAAGTCGATAAGGTGGTCAAGAAGATATATGGCATACTTGCCTTCACTGTTCAGGACATAGAGTATAAAAATTGTCAAGTCGTATATATGGATTGAATTCACCCATGAGAACTATGTTGCCCATACTAATTATTCTCTCATCTCCTGATTAATTCCATGCTCCACATTATCATCATAATTTGGTGGTCTGTTAATAACTCCAACCAATGTCAGATGACCCCAGCTGCTTCTTGGTTCCGCCGAAACATATTCCACACGTAGTTCTTTTGATCCGAGATCCTTTTGTACTAATGTATTATTCTATCCCTTATAATCAATGCAGTGTCCTTTCCTTCATGTCCTTCCTTCTTAAACATGGAATATTCTTGAATATTCAGTTCTCAGTCCTGATCACTGTGCAGTCATGTTTCTGTAATAGCAATTAGTGAGATCCATGTCTATTGTGACCTATTTGTGCCTTTACATCATCGACCTCGTTGGAATGCTGCATGTTTTCAGGTAGAATGCCTTTACTTTTGTATTTTTGATGTCATTCTGCTTTTGAATCACACTCTATGCTTTGTTTCTCCTGTCTTATAGTCTCCCTGTATCTTTTCCAGCTCCTGTTACTAACTTTATTTCCTTGGAATTTTGGTTACCTTTAGTTCCTGACACCCACCTCCGCCCCCCCACAACAAGCTAGTTTAAACCCTCCGCACTAAACCCACTAGCAGATCTTCCTGAGAGGATATCGGTCCCAGTCCAAATGGGGTATATCACATACAGCTTGTACAGGTCCCACCTGGCAGAGTTCCTCAAATCTGATATCCCTTCCTTCCTAACTCCCTGAAATTTGTGTTCAGAACCTCATCCTTTTTCCTACTTATGTATTTGGTACCAATGTAGACCATGACTTCTGGCTGATCCCCTGACTATGGCTATCCCCTGTAAATGGGGCTCTTCCAGTCGTCTTCCTCCTTGCCTGTACAACTGAATCACCCACAGTGCCATCGTTTGGCTCTCCCCTGTGGAACCATCGCCCTCACTAGTTTCGAATCTGCGGTGTAACCATCTTTCTAAACATTCTATCCACGTGGGTGGTCCTCTGCATCGCAGGTGGACAATAGTGATTCCAGCTGCTCTTCAAATTCGGAAAGCTGGAGCACAGGGTTATGCAGCTGGTGACACTTCCTGCAGATGTTTGTCTGGAGCACAGGGTATGGCCATAACTTCTCACATACCGCAGGAAGTACACTGCACTTGACCCTTCTGAGATGGCATCATTACTCTAAAGACAACTTATTACCCTTAGATTAAGTGTGGGCATACTGTGAAACCTAATGAGTTATTACTCAGATAAACGCAGAAAATATGGGGAGGCAATGATGTAGTGGTATTAGCGCTGGACTTTTAATCTAGAGAATTAGGTAATGTTCTGGGGACCCGGGTTCAAAATCCACCACACAGATGGTAAAATCTGGAATTAAGAGATTAATGATGACGATCAACCCATTGTCGATTGTCGGGAAAACCCATCTGACTTACTAATGCCATTTAAGGAAGGAAGCTGCCATCCTTACCCACACTGGCCTATATGTGACTCCAGAGCCACAGCAATGTTGTAGATTCCTAACTGCTCTCTGGGCAATTAGGGATGGGCAATAAATGCTGGCCTAGCCAGTAACGCCCTCATCCCTTGAATGAATGAGTTTTAAAAAAATCTAAAGGCTCGAACACAAACTAAATACCCTACTTTCATTTTAAAAATTGGAAATATTGACATACTCTCAAATCAGCTGCTTTCCCTGTTTGGCTAGGAGTGGTTCTGGTTCTGGAGCAAAAGTCTTCAGTGCTGTTTCAGGGATGCTATCAGGGCCTATAGCCTTTGTAATATCCAGTGTCTTTAGCTGTTTGTCAATATCATGTGGAGTGAATCTTATTGGCTAAAGACTGACATCTGTGATGCTGGGATCATTAGGAAAAGGCCCTCTTTACTACCACAATCTCCTCTAATTCTTGTCTCTTGTGTACCTTCCAGTCTCCCAAAACCATGCTTTGTGTCTCTCTGCATAATGGAGCAATCTTTTACGCCAGTATCACAATTCCATCAACCCGAAGGGTTCAAACCTAGCTATGCTTCCAAGTCAAAATGGTGCAGTTTTCTCCAATTGCATGTTTTCAGCAGTGTTCATTGAGTTGCATTCAGGTATTTAGCAGACACGCAGACGTGGTCACAGTGTTATTTACCTGTACCTGCAATGGACAGGGGGATTTAAAGATAGATACAGTTCTGTCTCTCCTGCTGCTGTAATGATTCTAAATTCAGTTTAAATATATTTAAATATATTTAAATGCTGTCAGTTCCAGCAGTGTAGAATACACGTGTGTAGCTTCAGTTCACTACTGGCCAAAGGTTTTATGAACCAAGTCTAGATCAAGCAGTCATTTGAAATCAGTTAAAAGCAATACTTGGTGCCTTAAATCAACCAGTTGAAGAATGTCTCATTTCCTGGCAACCCCATCCTATACTGGAGAATGTCCATTATGCTCTCACTGCTTGTGTGCACTGATTCATGAGGGATTTTGTATTCAGGCTCAAACTATTGTGTTTGTGTGAGAAACTTGAGCATACCTTTACTACTGTGATCGATCATTGTAGCAGAAACTCTACCATCCTGTGTACCCACAGCTACAAGCACTGGGTTACGTTATCATCTTCTGGTATTGCAATCCCTCTGAAAATTACATAGTCTCAGTGGTGGAAGAAACATTGATGGGCAAAACCAAAGTATAAGTGTTACATTGATGCAGCTCTGATTGATTTAGTGATACTGATGTTCCATTGATATACTGTTATTCTTTCAGTCTCTGTTTTACCCTATTTTACATGGTTTCTTAGTGCAGCGTGATGAATTTTGTACATTATTTTCCTCCAGGTTTGTGCCAGCTGAACGGGCCTGGGCAGTAGCAGCAGCCCATGCTTCTATTTCAGGGTCCTCTGCCAGCAGTGCAAGTAGCACACCCGAAGTGAAACCAGGAAAGTCACTTCTCTATGAAACCACACATTTGAGCAAAGGAACACCAACCCAAGTAAGTGAGGAAAGGCTTGTATTTAAATATTTCCCTTGGATTGAGTTTCTGTAATAGTGTTGGGAAACAGGCAAACTTTGTTTTGATGTTGGTGTTAAGATCTTTCTAACTTTTGGCAAAGAACATTATGCAGACTTATGTGAATATGTTTCAGTGATTAACCACCATGTTAACTAATTACAAAAAATATTTATGAAGCCAGGTTTCATTCTGAGGTCTGATTTGTTGCCATCAGCTGGGACCCTAACAAAAGACACGGCTATAAAAGGTGGAGGCTGAAGAAAGGGAGCTATTGACAGTGTCTGATCTGATGTGGTCTTTCTTGACTTTACTGATAGGGCTGGGACTGCTGGTAATTAACACACTCAATAATATGAACCAAGACAGATCAAGTCTTATCAAGTTTCTGAAGTATCTAAGTTACTGTGAATCTGGTTTCAGATGATTGCAAACTAATTCCTGTTCTTGCCCTAAAACAGTGTAAGAGGCCAAGAACAGGAAAGAATGAGCGTAGAATGGAGAATTACAGCAACAGGCTTGGGGAACTTGGGGTCATGCTCGCAGACAAAAGAGAGGTGTTCTGCAAAGCGGTCACCCAATCAGTACTTGATTCCTCCCTGAGCCCTGGCCTATTGTCGAAGAGATTTCATTGTGACAGTGAATTCAGTTCACTCGAGTGGTATAAGACTAGGTAAATTGCAAATTCACCTGGAAAAAATATTTGGGAGCTGGCACAGTGAAGCAAAAGAAGACGAAAGGGAAAGTATTGCATGCATGGGAATGTGCCGTGAGAGAGAGTGAACTGATTTTGGAGAGGGGTTGCAATGAGGAGGTGGTCCTTTTTCAAAACCTGCATTAGGTAATTTTATTAAAATTCAGCTAAAACTAAGACTAGTTAATTTTAACCAACTTTTTAAATGTTTTAACCTGCGTTGGCAGTTTAATGAGTTCTTGTCTTACCTAGATCAGTGATATCATCTGCCTGTGTGTATGGATGGCATAGAATCCCCTACATCATCTATTGATGTAATCTGTTGAGGCAAACTACGCAGAAGACTGACCTTATTATTAATTGAATTTTATTACTTTATTAAGACTTGATCTGTCTTGGCTCATATTATTGAATGTATTAATTACCAGCAATCCCAACCCCAACCCTCTCAGTAAAATCAAGAAAGACCACATCAAATCAGGGCAAACTGACATTGTCAATAGCTCCCTTTCTTCAGCCTCCACCTTTTATAGCCGTGTCTTTTGTTAGGGTCCCAGCTGATGGTAACAAATCAGACCGCAGAATGAAACCTAGCTTCGTAAATATTTTTTGTAATTAGTTAAATATGGTGGTTAATCACTGAAACATATTCACATGAGTCTGCATAATGTCCTTTGCCAAAAGTTAGAAAGATTTTAATACCAACATCAAAACAAAGTTTGTCTGTTTCCCAACATTATCTATTACAGAAAATCAATCCAAGAAAAATATTACTCTTATCTCAGTTTTATAAATCTTTACAGGGGGTTCCAGATTCACAAACATCCAACTTACAATGTAATCCCATACAGGGAATTTTAAAGACCCAACATATGAACATTTCCTGTACTTATGAACAGCTGCTTTATATTGTCCTGCATTGTGTTCCGACTTGTGAACAGACTCTAGAATGGAACCCATTCACAATTCGGGAACTGCCTGTACTAAGTTGATGCTTTCCTTGGACTGTTGAAACTGCTTTTTTGTTGCAATTTCTTCCCAAGTCCTTTGAGTGAAACTAGAACAATACTGACGGTCTAAACTTTCACAAGTCTAATTTGAAGTCTTCTATCCAAACTCTGCTAGCTTGGAAGCTTCACATTCTAGAAACTATTTCTGCTGTGGTGAATGGTTCTTCTGAACTGAACTGTAAAAACTTGGCTGCCCTACTTGAAAAAAGAAAACTGTACTCTCCTGAACTGAACTCGGAGTTCATCTGAACTGAACTTTTGAGCCCTCTGTTCTGAAATCACAAGTAATGATTTTGTTCTGTTTACTCTGCCTGTTGTAAATCCAACAACATAAATATCCTTTCCATTAACACCACAGGGGTATGTTAGGCAGTTGGCCAATGTCCTTGTTTCTTTAGCAATGATGTATTTGAATCACTGGGTGACCAGAGTGACTTTCTGACCTTTATCTGAACAAAGTTTCTCATAACTGACCAAAATCCCTCTGCATCTACTTCAAAATCCAATTTCCACAACCAAAAATAGTACGCACATATTATACATTTTTCATCATACTTTACCATCTGTCAGGCCCTCGAGCTAATGCCGAATTGGCACCCTCACTGCTACCTCCATCAACACTTGATAGAAATGTAGATAAAACAGAGTTTTTTGATGCACAGCGAATTAGTTAAATTTATGATTCCATGTTCTTGAAGTCTCCAGCAGTAAGTCGCTCTCAAGGATCTCAACAGGAGAAGAAAGTGGCTTCATTTGATCTTCTTACTGATCTTGGAGGGGATATTTTTGCTACTCCTCAATCTGCACCTCCTTACTTTGCAAATTTCACACATTTTAACAGTCACTCAGGTAAGATGGTATTCACTGTGTCTCTATGTTCTATTTGCATTGTTTATACGTATTGATTGAAAGGTTTTTTATACACAATTCTTTGGACTGAGAAGATTGCAAAATGATTGGAAGATTAATCTTTTTTACCACTTGATATAAGTAAGGGCAATGCTTAATTGCGTATAATGATTATTCAGAAAGTTGAAATAATGTATATAGCTTTGTAAATGATATCTGAAGATAACTTGAGCTAGCACAGTGTAAAAGTTGGAACATTTAATTTGAACCTCTTCTCACAGGCGATAAGCACTGCTTATTTGTAGAAAAGCTGGTGGTATGCTCTCTAGAATGTTGTTTATAAGTCATTTGGTCTGTAAGAGTAGCTCACATCAAGTTACCTCAACTCTAGAGCACGAAAGCAGGTCATATGAGTTCCTCTCACTGTCTTCATCAACAGACCTTTTTTTTTATCCATCATGAATTTATCTAGCTCTTGGCAATTCCAGTTTTGACCACCAAATTTAGTGATCTGGCTAGGGACCAGAACCATTTGTTTAAAAGTTGACAAAGTGAGAGATTCCTGGTACTTAGTAGGAAAGTAAAATCACAAGTTTCAATAACAATAAACTTTATTGTATGAAGTCAGAATAGCAATACAATCTGCTGTACATGCAACTTCGGAGGTCAGTTAGCTCAGTTGGCTGGTTAGCAATGGACAGAGCATGGATTCAATTCCTGTACAGGCTGAGGTTACCTTGAAGGTCCCGCATTCTCAACTTTCTTCACGTGAGGTGTGCCCTTTGGTCCTCTGGGATTCTGACAGCATAACTTTTTTTTAAATTTGTTTCTTTGTTTTTCTGCATGCTAGCAAGAAGAACTGTAATGTTTAATTTTTTAACTTTTGTTTATTTTGCTGCTTTGTACCAAGATTTTGTACCTAGGTACCATAAGTGGCAACTTGTAAATTTTTCACTGTACTCATGTGAGTACATGTGACAATAAACTTAATTCAGTTATTTACAACTTATGTTTTAACACCTGTGTGCATGTCTCTCACATGATCTATCTGTCTCTCTGACTCTCCCACCTCCCCCTCCCCCACCCCCACTGTCCCCCCCACTCCCCATTCCTCCCAGCCCCCGCACCACTGTCTCTCCCGCCCCTGCCTCTCCCCATCTCTCCCTCTCCCCGTTCCCTTCTCTTGCTCTCTTGGTCTCGCTAACTAGAAGCCCAATCATTGCAACTTTCTCCTCCAGTTGCCTCAGTCCATTTAAACTGTTCTGAATGAGTGATCTATTGAAAACATTGCAACAAACCCTGCTATCCTTCCTGAACAAAACTGGATGTTGCGACCATTGGAACAGCCAAATGTAACAAAACCATTAGCTCACCCCATTCCCATGTGTTACAGTGATCTACATTCTAACTACTCTTTGGGTAAAGAGGTTTAGCCTGAATTCCTGATTGAATTTATTAGTGACTATTTATTAGTAAATTAGAATTTGTAGCTTCTAATTTTCACCATGAATCCAATTTTTAATTTCTAAAAATTATTAATAAACTTAACAAAACACCATCAGCTAACCCTTCAGCCTTTTATTGTTGAGGAAAATAAAGTCCTCTTCTGTTTACACTTTGTTGATTGTTATAACCCATGCCTGTCCAATGAATGGCCCATGCTGCAGAGGGGTCCCTAAGGCTTTGTTTAATCCACAGCTAAGTGCAGTCAGGAGAATATGACAGGTGCTACTCCTCCAATCAGAGTTTATTTCTCTTGTGTTTGCTGCTGATAGGATAGGTTGAGTACTGGGAAGGTGTCAAAGAGAAGTGGGGAGAGACCGGGAAGTTGTGTGGAGCAGTAACTCTGTGCTTCAAACTGTCTGAAAAGAAACTTCGCTGCCACCCACTCTGCTTCTTTATTAATCACCAAGCCTCCTCATCCTGTGGAGGTAGCTAGGATGGTGGGGCTGAGGGGTGAGGCTGGGTGGGACACGTACGTGCAGGCTCGGAGTGTGATCTACTAGAGGTAAACTAAGGTCAGTGTTAGTTAAACCCAACTCGTTAGCTCAGCCTTGGCCCCACCCTTCTCCATGTGCCCCTTGCTGTGAAAATGTTAGATAGCCCAGTAATAACTCTTCACTTCTGGTATCATCCATGTGAACATTTTGAACCTTCACCAATACCTCTGTCTTTTTTTAGAATGCAGCGTACAGTACTTCAAAAGTGAGCTAACCTCAAATCTATAAAAGTTTTGAATGTGACATCCCTCCTTTCAAATTTACTGCTTTAAAAATAAATCTTATTGCTTGGTTTGCTTTTGTATGGCCTTATTTATCAGCATCATTAACCTCCTAGTGTTTTGTATAACTGCCCTGAGATCTCTTTGCTCCTATATAGATTGTTAGTATCTAAGCACAGTGTCGCCTCATTTTTTTAGACCAACTGCACCATCTTCCCATGAAGTATATTGAAGTTCATTTGCCAATTAAGTGCCCATGCTGGTTGTTAATGTTATCTTGTATTCTGTTACATTCTTCCTACACGTTGTCCACAAATTTAGAAATTATACTTCCCTGGCTTCAGTATCACTTCACTTGCTCTGCATCTCTGTACAGAATTAGTGGCTAAATTTCTTATTCATTGTATGAAGAAATATAGTTGTAATTCATTCTAGACCTCAATACTTGTATTGTGTTACTGCAATGCCTCATTCCTGATGCAAACTGGGTTCATAGGTTCTCAGTTGCTCATCACAAATCACTTTACTTTTAGGCTGTCATTAGTTTGTGATCAGAGAAGAAGTAAAGCAATTATTTAGTCACAGCTTTGAATGATCTCATTTCAAAGGAACATCTGGCTTTTGGAGAGGATTATAATGTGCAAGGAAGTGGGGCTTATTACAAACAGGTTTTTAAGTTGCTGGCCCTACCAGGTTCCTCCTTCAATTATAAGATTGGCTTTTAAGTAATTTAGATGTAGCTGGAGAACTCTCGGTCTAAAGTTCAGTAGGCATATGGTCCCTTCTCCATTTCAAAGCAATTTTTAAAAACTATATTTAGTCGGTTGGTGGAGTTCTTAATACTAAACGAATTTACTATTAAAAATGCAATCTCCAACTGGGATCTCACTGGTATAGGAGTGGGAGCGTGAGGGTAATTTTAGCTCAACTTTCCCAACTGTGAACACACCAGATCAAGTGGAACTATGGCTCAATGCTCTCCCCTTCCAATATTACCTTCAGTTGAAGCCAGTGAAGCGTAACATCAACTGGGATGCAAAATTAGTATTGCACCCAATCCAGTCAGTTTTCCAACAAGCATATTCAGTTAAAATTGCGCGCAGAGTATGCCTGTCTTCAGTTCCTTGCTGTCAAATGTTCAGAAATGAAATTTGAGGCCAGTTCGGATGCTATTACACAACAGTGCTATTAAATTTGCTTTCAGTTACATTAGTAGGCCAGTCAAAAGTGAAAACTCAGAAAATAATTTGGCAATGACCATGATTGATGCCGCAATCAATGCTTAATTTGCCAGCCATTAAATTTATTACATCAATGCGGACTGAGTTAGGTGAAGAGTTGATTAAATAAAGCATTAGGTGTAAGCTTGGTCCTGAATGTGGTAAAAAAAGATCGTGGCTAGCACGGATGACATGACAGTGCGTTGGTATTGTCTTGTTAGACTAATTGTCCTGTGCTTGAATATGCTGGGAGACCTGTGTGTTTGTTGGAGTGGCTTTGTTGCATCATTATGTATGCCAACAGGAGTTCAAGGAGAATG